TTTTCTATATAATAATAAAGTATTTACTTTACAAATTCTATTATACAGGGCAATATATAAAGTAATTAAGGACTAAGGATTATTCTTAAATATATATTAAATAAGGCTAATTAAAAATAAAAAAAAATAAACTTTACTTCTTTATATTATACTTTTAATAGTATTTTCTATTTTCTAATTTAATATAGTTTCTTAATATAATATAAAGTACTAGGCTAGTATATATTAACCTTAACTTAGTAATTATACTAGTAAAAAGAAGCTTATCTTATAATGCCTTTCTATTCTAGGTATATATATGCTTTTAATAGCTTAAAAATTAGAAAATAGCTAAAAAAGAGCCTTTTCTCTATATATAGTGTTTTTATAAGGGCTTATAACCTATTAAGGTTCTCGGGACTAGGAAGGTATATATATATTAGGGAAGCTAGCTAGGGCCCAGTGGGCAGGCTATCTACCAAGGGATAGGTAGGCCTGAGGCACCCATATCTCAACACATGTGCACATGACGAGCTAAACCAAACAGTCCTATACAGTCTAGGACAGTGTATACACAGCTTACTCCGTAGTCAAGAAGGGAATCCTGTGTGACATCGTACTGTGTTGTGTAACCTAGCGTCTCTGGAATCATCAACCTCAATATCAGAGCAAATAAGGCTGCACCATGAGCTTGCCTCAAACACATCAATAACCCTTGATTCCGAAAAAAGCAAAAACAGATGAAACGCTCGTAGCTTTGTATAAGCGTGCTAAAGCCAGTTTTAGTCTAAGAATTCATTTTGGGTGGTCGGAGATGGGTTCGCAGCAATATTCGTACTCAGCTGCAACCACCTGCGGCCACCCGTGATGTTTAGGACCCTTTGGTCCGATTCCAATAAACCAACACGGATATTTCCTCTTCTCTCACTCAACAGATGCGTTGCATTACACGGAGGTTTCGTCATAAAACTGAGACATACATGTTGTTGAGATAAGCAAGAAACGCCACGAATCACCTGGGTACAAGTAGGCTGAGGTGCCCGCCTCACTTTCTCTTCTTCTCCTTCTCCTCTATTATTCTTCGTGACCAGGCTTACATGGTCCTTCGTCATGGAGAACCCACCAACCCATGAGCGGCCCGGGTCGACGAGCTGTATCGAATGTCGTCGTCGGAAAGTGAAGTGCGTCTTTGACGACGACAAGGCTGAGTGTCAGCAGTGCAGCAGACACTCCCTCACCTGCCAGCCGCAGAATGAAGACTCATCTTCAGAAGCCAAAAATGAGATCCTCCAAGAGTTCTCGCTTCTTTCCAGAAAAGTTCAGTCACAAATGATTCATATGGAGACTGCAATCGAGTTCTTGGCTCGCAGATTTGACGCGCAACCCAGCAAACGAGTTGAGTCTAGAAGTGAGCCAAGCTACCGCTCTGTGAGCAAGCTATATGAGGTTGGTATCACTTTGGAGGCTCTCAAGGTCATGATGACTGAAGTAGTCTAACCATCTCTACCCCACAGATACCACAGACACCAACCCGTTTGATGGAATCGCTTCAGGGGCTCGTACCCGACACGTCGGTTCTGTCCCGGATTCTCAAACATAGCAACAGGCTCACCCAGAATTGGGCGAGCTGGCCTCTAGCAACGGTGTCATACCAACAGCAAGACGACGACGACTCCCCTGTCGAAACAGTTATCTTGTTTGACGCTGGATTTCCAACAAACGAGAATTCAGCTTTCACCTTCATTGACAAGTCATTGTCCCCAAACCGCCAGAAACCACCAGACCCTGGCGCTGTCGCAAAATGCATCGTGTGGCTCTGCCTTTCTTTCAAGGAGATACCAATGAAGTTCAAATACGCCGACAATCGAGCACCACCACCTTTTGAACCAAACCTACTCATTGATGACTGTATCTCCAAAGTTGAGGCTCTGTACCGAATCAGCTCAACACCTGTCTGCAACATCGACTTTGTCCAGGCCCTGCTCCTCCAAGGCGAGCTGTTCCTCTCCATAGGTCGCCCGACCAAGGCATGGAAGTGTATTAGGACTGGTATTGAGAACGCCATGCTGCTGGGAGTACACCAGGGCCGGTCTAGCCTGGATCGATGTATTTGGGAAGAGTTATGGATTCGAGACCGACAGCTGTCGCTCTTCCTTGGAATGCCCCATGCAGTCCCCGCGCAATTGGGGCCCAGGGTTGTAGTGGAAGAGTACCCCCTCGCTGAAAAGGAAGCTATCCGCCAGATAGCCATGCTATCGGGTCTTCTTACAAGCCAAATCCTAATGGGAGAAGACGCTACTGGGGCAACGATCATGCGAACGCTCGAAGAGATGAAGGAGCTGAAAGCAATGATTCCGGAGCATTGGACGAAGGGACACCCGAGATATGTCCCTTATCTCCCGCAGGCCTTCACTCGCGCCAGTATCAACATCCTCTACCACACATTTGAGCTCATGCTGAACTGGCCCAAATGGCAACAGTCAATCATGAATCCTGGTAATGTCGGCGACTTTGACGCTTCAAGGAAGGCGATCCTAGCCTCAGCACAGGAGATCATAAAGGCGCAGGAAGCCATGAGAGCCCCAGAAGCCGAGCCGGAAACGGTGATGAGGGCTGACTTTGTGGATTTCCTTGCTTTCAAGGCTGCGCTTGCGATGATAGCTGTCATCAAACACAGGGCCAACCCCGTGCCGGAGGAAGAGAGCAAACCTCTCTGGAAGATGGTAGATGAGCTGGGAGACAGATTCCAGGAGACGACCAAGGTCTATGACGACCTATTTGCCAAGCAGGCTTGCCTCGTTCTCAAGATTCTGTTTTGCGCAAGCGAAGGGGACTATATCTGGAGTGGAACGTATGAGGCAGTCATCCCCTACTTTGGGAAACTCGAGATCAGTAAAGTCATCGTCTTAAGGGACTGTGCTAAACAGTGCCAGAAGGAGAACGAAACCAAGATAGCTGTCGTGATGGAGTCAGACAATGTCGTTTTTGGACCGCGGTATGATGGTGTCCCGGAGCTGGAACTCGCAGCGGACTGGACTAAGTTGGGACATCCCAAGGTCTATGGATGGAGATCATCTTTCGACTTTGACTGTTGGACTCAAGAAGGGTTTTAGGATGTGTACTGGGCACCAACCCGCCAATATGGGCGTGTAGCTAAATATTGGTCAACTTTATGACATGATGAGACGTTTTCAATTTACAACTTTTGCAGAATATTGGGTCCAGACGTGCTCTAACACCTTCAGCGACGCATCGACGAAGCATCCATCATGCTCATCCCCATCCCTTCCATTCCACCACCCTCCATCGCAGCCATCATCTTTCTCATCTGTGAACCATCACCTCCTCCAGGGGCGCTCAGATAAACAGCCTCTCCAACCATACGCAACTGCATAGGGAAACGAGGATCCCCATAGTAGTCAATGATCTCCTGCTTACTTGTCTTCTTCGTCAAGTTCTGCCACTGACTTGAATCCATTCCCAACTGCTCACACTCCTGCTGCTTCTCTGGTGACCACCACGAAGGGAGCAGCCCTCTTCGGATTGATGCTTGTCGTAAGAAACGCTGAAAACCTCGAAGCCCGTTTGAAGCACCGCCATAGAGACTGTCTCCATCTGCTTGACCTTCAAGGTTGTACATATCGTCCATACGGAGACGATAGGTGTCAATTAGAAGCCGATAGACATCTTTCTCAGGACGGTTGTGCAGATAAGTGCCGTTATCGAGACGAGTAAAGGGGTTAGGAACAGACTTCTCCAGTCCCTTTTTTGGAGACCGGCTCATTTCGTCTGGATCAGGGAGGTTGGCATTGGCAACTGAATCTGCCTGCTTGCCACAGATCTTCTTGTGGGCTTTCCAGTCGGCCTTTTGACAATCCCGAGAGCAGTATTGAGTGGTAGAACACTTGGCACACCGCTTGAGCTGAACTGCCGGTTCTTCCTTGTTGCAGGTGTTGCAGGCAGCCATAGTGAAATGAGTCGTTGGAAGTCAGTCTCAGTCCTCAGTCTTGGAGTCTTTGGCCTCTCTTTTGATAGAATTCAGATGATATCAAGAGAGAGGAGAGGCAATCAAGTGATGCCGGTGGCTTAAGGTTTGCGGGGATGTGAATCAACCAGGATGACCCTGGTCACTATCATCAATTGTCGACTCTTGTTATAGAGACAACAATGATATAATATCGCTCTGCAACTCTGGGGCTCTTTCCGGCTTAGACTATTCGATATTCCCGTAAAACGGCGTAAACGTGGCCAATGGATGTTTCGACTCTCGCTAGAGGCGACTTCTTTGAGAACTGCCTAATAAGGCACAGTGTGAATGCTGTCAATCTCAAACAAGTTAGTGACTCCCGCCGTTGAGTGTATGTAGGTCTCGAGTAAGGTATGGAGACTTTGCGTTGATGAACAAGGAGAGTTGCCAGTATATATAGTGTATGTTATCATGCAACGTTACTTGATGCTCTATGGCTTGCATATATAGACATCTTGGGCTTCTTAGCAGATGTTTGCTGCAGCATCGTGCTCTCCAAACAGGATTGCCCTACGACGGTGAACGGGTGATATCACCAATCAAGGCAAACCTGACTGACTGAGACTATTTAACTACACGGCACTTGAAGTGCCCAACAACACCAGTCTAAATAGGCAAAGACAACTGGGAGGATGCTTGTTGAGAGAAATATGTATTGCCTTGAGTCATTGCTAACTAGCATCTGGCCAATTGTCTCGACTCTCCAAAAGCTACCATTGATAAGTCTGTATGAACTTGGCGTTAGTATCAAGAAGAAGAATAAAACAAACCAATAACTTTTGAGAATATTCGCATTGAGGCCCAACCGATCTGTGCCTGTGCCTGTGCCTGTGCCTGTGCCTGTTGCCGGTAGGCGACGGCCGAACTTATCGTACGACATCTTCTTATTATATTGGTAGCGCTTATACTAAGTCTACTTAGCCAAAATGTAACCGCGGTCGTGGACCAATGACAGTTACCAGCAAGTACCGGACAGGGGTCAATTACGGCACAACCAGAGGGAGACTGCTTCTTCTTCATTTGCTGGTGATATAGACTAGTACCTCTATTTTCCTTCGTGGGTTCTTGTCTGTCTGCTGAGACATGTGAGAATGACCCCCAAACATGGCCATTCGTGGCATCACTTGAGTAGACTTCTGACATCTGACAACCCTGCAAATGGGGCCCGGATCTTTTGGGCCGGATGGTGTTATTACCGCTCCAGGAACCAAGTGCGGGTATGCATGAGTGATGGTCATCATTAACAGCTTAGGTTGCGATCCATGATCTGCAAACTGCATAACCGGCAGTAGTTTGATCTTGGCTTATCTTTGTTACTTACCTACCTATATCTCCAGCGCGATAATTAATACCCTGTCATGGACTTCAGGGTCGATGGCACTGAACAATGGAACCAGCTATACTACAAGCATGCAGGTAAATCTGCCATGAAGCTGTCCCAACTTTTCCTTTCCATTCACATAGAAATGTTATTGCTGTGCCCATTACTTGAGCTCCCGAATGGAACCATGATCACACATTATCCAGTGCCAGTATTAGGATAGATACAGAACTACTCATGAAAGTGTATCTATTGTCTTGGTCACCATCGCTTCAATCTGCTGCCATCTGCGCCGCAAGAGTTCCCGCTGGCTACTCGAGCCGCCTTCTACCTCATCTATATCGCCCAGAGTCTTTCCGATGATGTTCAAGAAATCTTTCAGTGCGGTCAACAGTAATTCATCTACCTCAGCCTGCGACGATCGCCCCTCGTCTTGAGCATCAAAGAATCGCTGCCATTGCCTTTGTGTGCAGCATAGCATTCGCAACGCGACCTGAGTTCTGTGACAGCCTAATGTCTGGTCATCGAGAGTGAATCTTCCAAGAAAGTTGATACTTTCAAGGTCGGCACGCTGTGTCTTGTTCAGCATCGGGAGAATCACTTCATCTAGGTAGACCTCGTCCCAACGGTTCGTATCCAGAATGAATCCGTATTCGGAAAGAAGAAAGTCGTTTGAGTGAGGCCCATACGATACGTAGACTTCCTCACCTTGGCGATAGACTCGATCCGCTTGAACGCTGTATCCCAGCGCTGAATAGGCGAGCTTGCATCCTTGATCAGCATGGTTGAACAGGTCGGCTGTTGGCATGCAGACTAGTCGGTCAGCATGAGCGTAGCTTTTCATCTTGGGCATGCTGTTGTAGAAGGTTCTGGTGTTGATGAGCACCCAAGAGTATAAGTACTCGTCTCTGGTCAACTTGGGGAATGCTTTTAGAACAATTTCGCACTCGCGTCTGAATGTAGCATTCTGATTATCCAGAATATCCTTGGCCCTCTTGGGCAGAAGGGCTTGGAGTTCACTCGGCCACATCATGGGCACACCGGCCTCTAGATCTTCCCGGGTTGGCAGAACTGTTTTCCATATAGAAAAGTCATCACTTTCGTCAAGAGCAATCTCAGCAGCTAGAACGCCATGAACCGAGACTCCTTGAAGGGCTTCGGTGATGTTCTTTGGCACTGTATCAATAGTGCGAACTGCCTTCATTGGCACACTCAAAATAGTTTCATTTGGCTTGCAAAATATTAGACCAATTTTGGGAGGAGATCTATTACTCACCTTGATATCGCGAATTGCGACGATACCAATACCACGACCTGGAAGAATTCGAGGCTCAACGCCTTTTAGTTTGACTCCTTTACTTTCTGCCCAAGGCAGAAAAGCAGGATCAATGAGCATTTTGGGATCAATGCACTCTCACAAGGAGAATCTAGAGAAAGAAAAACAAAAGTCGGACCAGCAAAAATATGTGTTACATGTTCCCTTTGACTCATTCATTCGCTCTCCTATGGATGTTGGATCCTTTGCAAAGTTTCTACTGGATGGCGAGCTCAAGACCGCTGAGTAAGCCCCCGAAACCCGCAGGTCGGCGCTGAAGCTAGGGCCACGTGATGCCATAAGCGTCATACCTTCCAGTAGCTAGGTAGCTCTCATAGCTGCTCTGCCTTCACTCATGATGGCTTGGTTTACATCCATTCAGGCCTTGATTAACCAGACATGATCGGAGTTAATTCTTGCCAGTAACCTTTTGCTTTACTTATTTGACCGTCAAATTTACTTGCTACACAACTGATTAAGACGTGTTTCCTTTTTACTTGCATGACAAATATTCACCAATTCTCAAGGGAGTAGAAATCAAGACGAGACAGCTCTAGCCTTGACAACACGTCGCAACTTTATCTTGCTCACTCACCCACTATCTTCAACTTTTCCATAATCCAAGTCAAGAGCTTATCATCTTCACCATAATTCACCATGTTTTATGAGGGAACCCTTCAGGAAGGCATCTCGACAGCCGTCGGCCAGCAGAAACTTGTTCTATGTTTCGTGACAGGTATGTTTTGTCATCACCCTGACCCACGCAATAGCTCACATGCATCTTAGATGAAAGCGACGAGAGCACACAATGGGAAAATGAGTTTCTGGTCGATGATACGGTAAGGATTACGGAAATCTGCAGATCATATGTGATGGGGCTAATTACGGTGTAGCTGAGCGACTTACTCAAGGAGCACTCTATTTCGCTCCGTCTCAAAGCTGGGTCCGAGGAAGCCGGATATCTAGCTCAGATCTTCCCTCTACCACGGACTCCGACTGTTGTTATCATTAAGAATGGAGAATTAAAGGAGTACATCACACCGGGGACCAGCAAAGAGGATTTCTTGCGGAGAGTTCAGACGGCTTTCAACTCCACTGCTGCACCTGCAGCTCCAGCTCCGGCTCCAGCTACAACCCAGCCAACCCCGGCACCAGAGCAGGCCAGCCCGCCACAGCCCCAGACAGAGACACCCCTAGCTTCCGAACAGCAGAGCACTCCACCAACAGCGGCTCCATCAACGTCAGAAAATGTTCGTCGAATACTAGCTGAGAGGGCCGCCAGGCTGCAAGCCCAAAAGGAGGAGAATGAGCGTAAGGTGAAGGAGGAACGCGCAAGGACGAAAGAGAAAGCTAAAGCTGAGGCCGAAGCTGGTATGGATACGGATAACGCTAGAGCTCACAAGCAAGCTGAGGCAGTAAGGAAGAAGAAACAGAAAGATCAAGAGGAGAAGGCGCGGATCCTCAAGCGCATCGAAGACGACAAGGCAGAGCGACGTCTACGTGCCGAACAGCGTGAGAAGCAGAAACTAGATAACCTCAAGGGCGGCGACGTCGCAGCAGCATTAGTGAGCGCACCAGAGACCAAGCTGTCGAGCTCCTCCAAGTCTGGCGCGATAACGGCTCTTCAAGTCCGCTTGTTCGATGGATCAACATTGAGGAACCGCTTCAAGACGACTGCACACCTAAAAGAGGTCCGACAATGGGTGGACGAAAATAGAGGCGACGGCTCGCAGCCATACACGTTCAAGCAGGTCCTCACGCCTCTACCGAATAAGAACATTGACGAGACTGAGGAGGACAAGCCGTTGGGGGATCTCGGCCTTTTTCCATCTTCGACATTGGTGCTTATTCCCGTAAAGAAGTTTACGACTGCCTACGATGATTCACAGGGTATTGTTTCGAGAGTTATTGGATTCATTCTCAGCATTTTTACATGGATATTCAGTCTTTTCGGAGGTGGTGACGAGCGCACTGGGCACCGAGGTCCTACGAGCGATGCGCCGGCCAGTTCTCAAGAGCGTGTTCAGTCATTCCAGAATCGCAGAGATCAGCAAAGAGATCAACAGTTGTACAATGGAAATTCAGTAAGACTCGGTATCCCACTCTTTATCACGAACTTGCTAACACAACAAAGCTGAACTTTGAGCCACGGCCAGAAGAGGAGGAGAAAGATGAATGAAGGGGTTTCCCAATTTGAGTGGCAGTAATGTCTTTTTTTGTTGTAGTATACAATTGACAGTGCTGAGATGTAACAGTAGTATTTCCCCGCCGTATTCCTATATGCATGCAGGCTGTCGGGAGATATATATCCCCGATGTCGTTTCCCTTCCCATAGTGATATCAAGTCCCTTTTGTTCTCTTTTCAGCTTCTCATTCGTCCATGCTTACTGACCAGCGGCGGCCTGGCAAGCCTTGAGTTGCTCAAGGTACCAGTTGCAGATCTGCATGTTTCCGTTGTTCTCATCCAGGCACTTTGTGAAGTTCTGGGCGACACCGGCGCAGTTGTTCTGGTTCCAGGACTGCTCTTGGGGGGCGGCCTGAGCTTGGACGGGGGCAGCAGCCTCGGAGGAACCGCCGGAGAAGAGACCGCCGATGGCGTGGCCTACTGAGGAACCGATAGCGACACCGCTGAGAACAAGTTAGCTACACGTGTTGGAAGCATGAGCTCTACAGGTGCTCTGGAGTACATTGCTCCACCTAGAACTAGAAACTCCGAAGACACCAATTGTTGTAGATTCGCAAGGGGATGCTTACGCAGCAGTGCTGGCCATCTGGCCGAACAGTCCAGGGCCCTGAGAACCGGCAGCCTGAGGAGGCATGGCCTGGGCAGGAGGGTGAGCGGCAGTGGGAGGAGCAGCGTGGGTGGCGGTAGGGCGAGTCTGCTGAGGAACAGGCTTGGGAGCAGCAGCGGTAGGGCGCGAAGGAGCGCGGCCGACAGATCGTTGACGAGCCATTGTAGTTGTTGTGTTGTGGTTTTTGGTAGGAGATTTGGTGATGCGATTTCAAGTGTTGAAGAACAAAGTTCGAGATGTTGAGTTATGAGGAGAAAGATCGGAAAGAAAGAATACCGGAGGCACGGATTTCGGAGGCGCATATCGAAACAGCCAATCATGAGGGGCAAATTTCAACGAGGGACGGGGAAGATTGGCCAGTAGGGCCTCGGTAGAGGCATTCCCCCAAAGCGCCAGGGGTCCAGAGCACTCCAGGACCTTCCGTTGACAGCCGCTGGCAACTTTTTAGTGGGCACCTCCATTAATTGAGTCATGAGGCCAGTGAAGGCTACGATTGATTACGACCGCTTTCAACGACGGAGATATCGGGCATGGCATTTCACTAGGTATCGGATATAAGTCTTGTGCCAATGTAAGTGCAACAAACGGTGAGTAAAGCAGTCTCGCAAATTCATTCTAGACGTTAACTCTAGAGCGGTCTGTTCTACTATATCAAAGCCCTGTACTCCATTTTCGTTATACATCTCATAAAGCGCATCGTTTACGGTGTGCATCTGCCCATGTATCGGGGATACAAGCAAGCTTCACGCACAGTCCAGAGCTTCAGGAGCCACGCCAGGAATCTAAACAGTTGTCAGTATATATGAAATCAAAGAAGTACCAGATAACGTACCGCTCAGCTCCCAGACCGTATCCTCCGTGAGGAGTAGATCCGTACTTGCGCTGGTCAGTGTACCAGAAGTACCCCGTAGGATCAATGCCCTCTCGCTTGTAACCGGCCATGAGCTCCTCATAGTCCCAAATTCTCATGCTGCCACCGACAATCTCGCCAACTCCAGGCATCAGAACATCGACGGACTCGGTCACGCGGGGGTCGTCCTTAGCCTTTGACATGTAGAAGGACTTGATCTCGACGGGGAAGTGAGTGAGGAAGATGGGGCGGTTGATCTCGTCGGTCATCTTGCGCTCAGCGGCCTCGGCACTGGCCTCCAGTCAGTCTTTGTGCATTCAGAATTTGCAAAACACTTACATATCGTCGCCAAAAGTGTGGTCGTTGCCATCCTCGTTCTTGATACCACGCTCTCGCAGCCAATCGATGGCGTCGGAATATCGCATGCGCAAGAAAGGTCGAGAAGGCTTCTCGAAGTCAGGGTTGTACTTCTTGATAGCCTCAGCGGCAAGAGGGTTCTCGAGGGTCAGGTCGATCACACGACAGATGACGTGCTCAAGATGGTCTAGGAGGTTGTCGAAGGTAATGAAATCCAGTTCAGCCTCGACGTGGGAGTACTCAGAAAGCTACATCCAAGTTAGACGCGGTCGCTCGGATATGATATCTGGCTAGTTTCCATATAGAGGTACTTACATGGCGACGGGTAAGAGACTTCTCAGCGCGGAAAGACTTCTCAATGCAGTAGCAATCACCAAGGACAGGTAGGACAGTCTCGAGGTAAAGCTGGCTGGACTGAGTCAAGTATGAAGTCTCGCCATAGTAGTCGAACTTGAAAAGAGTAGAACCACCCTCGACCTGAGTCTGCACAAGAGCAGGAGGGCTGACCTTCTTGACATCCAACTCCTTGTAAACGGTGTGGAAAGCATCCTCGACAATGTCGCGAACGAACATGACGGCGGCGGGCTTCTCGTGGCGGAGGGTAAGGTGGCGGAGGTTCATGAGGGTGTTGGTGTCACCGTCAACGGGAACCAAGTTGGTGAAGGCCTCGTCACCACCAGGGGCCTTGGCGATGACCCTGAAGTAGTCGGCGCGAAGTTCTCGGTCGAGAGGGGCGTGAGCACCGGCGGGAACCTCCCAAAGCTCACCAATGATCTCCAGAGAGGTCTCTCGTGAAAGAGTAAGGGCATCGTAGGTCTTGGAGAGATCTCCAGAAAGGAGGCATTGCATGTAGTTGAGACCGCGGCGCAGAGTCACGAAGATAAGACCGCCCTGCTTAGCAACACGGTTGACACGGCCCTGAACGGAGACGCGCTTGACTCCCTCAGTAGGCTCATCCTTGCTCTTTCGGAGTGTACCAATCTTTGAGGGGTCGGTCTCTTGGAGGTTGATCGCAATGGGCTCAGGAAGTGAAGGGTCGTTAGTGATCTTCAGCTTCTTGGCCTCCTCGAGAACAGCCAAACGAGCGGCCTCGTCTTGAGCATCCTTCTCAGCTCGCTTAGCAGCAGCCTCGGCTTTCTTCTTTTGCTGGGCAGCGTAGGCGACAGCCTTCTTCAGGGCTGACTTAGCAGCAGGCTTGTAACCCTCCTCATCGTCCTTCTTCTTAACCTGGTACTCGGACTCGGCTCCGTGGCGGTAGTAGGCTTCAAGAAGAGTCTTGAAGGGGGCGGCCTCAGTGCCCTGAATCTCGGGGAGATCGCTTCCGGCTTCTTCGTCGACGTAGATGACCGCCATTTTGTGTTGTGCTTTGTTTTCTGCTTCAATCGTTGCGGAAACAGAAATCACGGCCTTGGGTAGGAACTTGGAGGGGTTATGGTGCCCCGCGATTACTCCCCTTGACTCACGTCCGATAATGGTGGGGTGAAAAATTGTTAGTCACCTCTCTGCCTTATCTTTCCACGTATTAACGCGATAAGAGCTCTCCTTTACCATGAATCCAATGCGATGCCTGGCCGAGGGATTGAAGGCACCATCTTATTATGCCCCCAAGGCCGGCCAAGGAGTCATCTTTTAGGTTTTCTTCTTATTAGCCTTTGGCTGTAGCAATTGGTTACCTAAGGTAGTCATTATGGTATAATGTCTAAGTTGTGAGCTAGATGTTTATTTGCAGTTGGGACTTGTGGCTGAGAGCCGAAATCAGTAGACAGAACTTAGTAACTAATGCGATGCCGGATGACAAGGCAGATACTATCCAGTAAGGTACTCTTGTAATTTGATGCCTTATCTTAACTTTACAAGCATATGCCAATTGAAACACAAGTTCGCGTCCCCTTTGGATTCAAAGTTCATGGTGTCCCATAAGAAAGCAAATTTCGGAAGCAAACTGCGTTTCAGAAGAGTATGGTGTTTAAGTGTAGTTGTCTCATCACTATCTCCCCTAGCTCCCCAAATCAAAAAGTCAACCCCAAATGCCCAAACGCCATGCCCAATGAATTCAACTTTTCAAAGGGGGCCGTATAGGTCCCCAGCCATCTATTTGCCTGACACAATCTGGGTATCATTGTAAGCCTCCTCCTGAAGCTGCATGCTCTGAATTCGGCCATCAACAGCTGGCGCCAGACTTCTGTGCGTTTTCCAACCACTTGGCCCGTCAGCATAATAATCCTGCTTTGCAATTCAGTTCTTCGCCTTGTTCTTTTTGTTCTTCCTCTGCTTCTTCTTGTTCTTATCTTTTCCTTCGGCAGAAGAACCGGGCTGAGATGGAACGGGCGACTCCTCTGCTGGTCGCTTTCGGTTCTCGACAGATTTGAGCAGTGCCTTGGCTCGTTCCTCTGCAATCTTTTCGGCGAGCTTGCTGCTGATTGTCTTGTTGTCGCCCTGTAAAGTCTCAGTCTTGGATCTGTCATGGCTTCGCCGTTACATACCAGGTCCGCCTTGAGGATACGCGCGGTAGCCTCTTGGTTAATAGTCAGGGTACGCGTTTCAGGCTCTGGGGGAGACTCGATGTTCTTGATCTTTCCAAAGTATTGCTGAATTCGCTTGAGTTCAGTAAGAACGGCTTGTGTTTGAGCTTCATTGCCCTCATTTAATTTCAGTGATGCTATCGCGACTGTTAGTATTGATCATGTGGCGTCGTGTCAGGTGCAAGAGAGTTAGCTCACAAAACATTAGGGATTCGATCGCGTAAGCTGTAAGTGAGAACAGTTTCGCCTTGTCTAATAGGGGCAACTGAGAGGCCATGCCTTCGAGGTTGCCCAGCAAAGGCTGTAGCTTTTCTTCAAGATCATCGAGCTGATTGTCCAGCCGATCGAGGTCCGGCGTGATGTCCTTGACGTCTGTCATGTTGGGCTTTGTGATTAGGAATGTTGAGAGGCGCAGTGTTGTGATGTTCACGTCGTCGCATGAAAGACTTCGCACAGGCGCAGAAACTTGTTAACCATGAGACCCAATAAGGCTTAGTGGCTCTTGCATTCATGAATCGAAGTAATGCAACTAAAAGGTACCGCAGGCTATGAACTCCCTCAAGCTGAGAACAAAAGAATGCTGAGAGTGCAAACTCTTTATGAATTGCGGATTCCTTTCAGTGGGATCCGTACAAGGATTTTGTTACTTGCATTTCCCTTCTCATTGTGTGAAGCCTTCAACATCACTATTTTCAGCATCAGGCCAAACGATATCGGAGCCGAGCACTCATTGGCCAATTATTGATGCTTCTATACCCCACTATTGATCATCAAAACTCCCGTCAGGCTCTTGTTACTCTGATTGGCTCTGGTCCAAGTCGAACCAAAAGCGAAAACGGACTCGCCTCTGTCATTCTTCAACGGATCACCAATTTAGTATCGACATCACCAGCTCTAACGCAACTCAACGCCTTCACGAACTGACGAGATAAGAAACCGACGTATTTTAAATCAGACTTACCAAAAAACAACTCCCAAAGACGAGCCTCCATCGTCTCTCGCTCGAGTCTGCATGCGCGCATGCGCATATTAAATCTCGATCTTTCAGCTTCTGAGCCACCTTTTCTCCCTACGACGACTCAATCACCAACTTCAAGCTGGAAATTATAATGAAGACGCGGGCGACCACTCAAATAGCGAGAAAATCGACCCGATGGCTCCGAAGTAGCCCCAGTTTCGGCTATACACGACCCTTTGCTTCGGCAGTGGCTCCGACAGAACAGAAGAAACCAGAGGCCGTACCCCCAGAACTCGGCGGTGCGCCATCACGGCCATGGAAAAGCTCTAGTACCCAAGCCGAGTCTGTCACACCTACATCAACAAGCCCTGCGTCGCAATTCTACGTCCCCTCGGTTGTCATTCCAGCTGAAGCAGCGAGATCTGGACCAGTACATAAGATTCATATCCTGGGCGAAGATGTCAGATCGAGATTCATCGCCCACGCTCTATGTAGCGTATATGATTCTGTTGAGATGGTGCCATTTCGCCAGATGCCCAAATCAAGATATCGAAATGTCGAAAAGGTTCAACCAGAACGAACAAGGAAGAACGCATATGTCGAGAAGAATGTAGCCATCTCCGATAACGATGTTGTACCTCAATCCGACCGCTCGCATATCGATGAGTTGATTGTTACCGGTCGTGGCTTTGAAGCTGTCAAGGCAATCGCCTCAGTCAAAGATCGGATCGATGATAAAACATCGATTTGTCTTCTTAATGACGGCATGGGAGTGCTCGAGCAAGTCCGCCAACAAATCTTTAACGGAAGCCAGCCTGAGCCCAACTTTTACCTGGGCCATATGTCCCATGCGCTCGCTTTCAACCGGTACAGGGATTCTGTTAAGGAGTTAAAGCGTGGGCGAACAGTCTTCACCAAGGCCGACCCGGTGCTAAATGCGGAGAAGGAGCTCTATATCCCTGTTGAGCAACAGCCTAGTATGATGAGTTCGCTGAGAAGGGCCAAAGATCTCAACACAACCTTTAGTTCTTACGAGCACTGGCTAAGGTTCAAACTACCCTCGGTTATGTTCACGGCTGCTGTTGAGCCCGTCTGTGTGTTCCTTGACCTTCCATACCACGGTCTGCTACAAAATCGAAGTGCTCAAAAAATGATGAACAACCTTCTGGGGGAAATGGTTCTAGTGATGGAGAATATGCCTGAGGTCCAAGACTCACCCGATCTCATAAAGTTCCTCCGCGGAGAAGGGCTCAAAAAGTTCTGCTACCGTCGCATCACAGGAAAGAGCAAAGCCCCCAGTGATCTGCTGACACGCATCAACAAGGGCCTGCAAACAGACATTAACTATCAGAATGGGTACTTCTTGAAGCGGGCTAAGATTCTCGGCATAGACACACCAACGAATCAACTGATGGTTCAGATGATCAAGGCCCGACGTATTGAACAACAGACAAGGTTAAGGTCTTTCATACCCATCCGGGAGGCATCACCAAACGATGTTAGGCAGAAGTTTCAATCACGCATGTTGAAAAATGACTTTTTGTAGAGTACCTTAGGGTGGTAACGAATTGCATCTTTGGCTAGGGGCATTCTATAGTTTGGTTGGCGATTTCACAATAACACTTTAATTACTCATGCTAAAGACACTCAACAGCTCTTTGTCAATTAACAGAATATTTGACACCAAATCAATACCTAGGTAGTACGGTATCATGATATTTAATGTGTTGCTTGGTTTTGCTTACATAACCCAATGCCCCTCCTACGATGTGCAAAGTAGCCCCGCGTCGTCAGGCTGATCTCGCGACTCACCAAAACGCTGAAGAACGTCACGTATCAAAATCATGGACGACGCAGAGTTAGAACAGGTAAATCACTCTTGCGGTCTCATCGGGAATTCATCACTGAGGTTCTTCGCAGTTACGAAAAGCTCGCCTGGAGCAACTGAAGGCTGAAGCCGGTGGCAGTGGAGGCGGTTCTTCTGGTCAGGAACAACAGCAGCAGCGCCAGTCAGTTGTCTCGATCCATGGTGTGCGGTACTGTATTACTGACCTTGAAATAGACAGCAGCAAAACGAAGCTCGTCAACACATCCTCAACCAGATCCTCCACCCCGAAGCCGCCGACCGTCTAGGCCGTATCCGACTTGTGAAGGAGGAGCGCGCCGCCGACATCGAGAACCGACTTATCACACTTGCGCAAACCGGTCAGCTTCGACAGAAGGTCACTGAAGCACAACTCAAGGAGCTTCTGAACGCTATGTCGGAGAGTAAGGAGGAGGAGAAGATTGTTGTGAGCAGACGCAAGGCGTGGGACGATGACGACGATTTGGACCTGTAAGAGGTGCTTGAGATACCATTGAATGGAGGATCAGAGCGAGGAAATAAGGCAAATTCGTGGGCGGGACCTGCTTTTCTGTCTCGAGTGAAAGGAAACAAAACGCATGTGATGGCTCAAGGTGCAGAATATGGGAATTCTTCCTCAGACGTTGAGGGTAAAACCTGGGTTTTCTACTCGTATGATTGATGATGTGCATGATTCAATTGACTTCGCAGATCGGGAATCTTGTAACAGTAATCTTGGCCTCTAATAACAGCGCTAATTGGCAATTCTGAATTTGACATTTAATACAGTAGAGTACAAGTATTGCAAGAGAAGTCAGATGGGAGAAGACACGCAGACAATCATAGCCCCTGCTCTCTCAGCTCTTTGAGTCTCTTCTTCTCCTCCCTCTCCCTCTTTCGTATGTCTCTCATATCGGGCGGTTGCTCAATACCCAGCTCTTTTCTCAAGTCACTAACGTCATCTTCAAGTCTCTCTTCCCAGAAGACATTGATGACTTCTTTGCTCCGTGCCCCGTTCTTCAGAGCCCAGGGTAGGTATATCGAGGCGAATCGCTGCCTCTCGCTCCTCTTCATGGTAGCAGCCGCAAAGATACTCAACCCGGTCATGGGAAGTAACGTATTCGCAAACTCGAAAGCCTTGAGTGCAACCTCACCCTCGCGGACGATAGGCAGACCAGTCAGAGCGTGGTAGAAGTCATGACACTCGCGGTATCGCTGCATGACATATGCGCACTCCTCGTCGTCGATGTACCGCACTGTAGCTCGAGTATCGGGGGAGACGCCTTCGCGATCGAGCCATCCTACGTAGGCGCGGCCAACCGAGTTTTCGGGTAGTGCACGTAGGGCTTCGAGGGAGAGGGTTTTGGAGGAGATTCGAGGTCGAGCTCGGAGGATACGGCGGCCGGTTGGATCTGCAAGCATGGCGTCGCGCAGACGGTAGATAAAGTAGGGTGCAGCTGTGGCTTCGCCGGTAGCAGCGATGAGGTCTGAGGGTGGTCAGCCAGAGCAACAGGGGAGTCCTGCAGGATACAGATTCGCATACCATGGCGATAGGGATCGAAAAAAGACATTACGCTGGCACCAATGGCCAGCCCAGCCCGCTCAACTCTCGTTAGAGGAACATGGCCTGGATAGTTTGGTGGGGGGCGGTTCAAGCTTGTGAAGCTCCTCGGTGACGACGAAGAGCAGGATGCACAAGATGTTGCCCGTACTAATGTGCTAGCATTCCGGGCAGATCCAATTGACCTTAGTTTAGGCAGTGCGGTCTCCATTTGGGCTCGTTATCTGAGGATGATGATAGTGGTTCGATGTTTAAGCTCTGGCGATGATCTAACCGGCTAGGCCATGACTGACTCAGCTTCAAGAATTACCGAGAGACCAGAACGAATCAGCGCTGAAGTTTCTTGGGTGGAACTGTATATTCAATCTGATTTAGTTTGACGGGAATAATTTGAGTTTGTGTATCCGTAAGTCCTATTAATATCTCGGCAAGTGGACGGAAATAATGGGTGAACACCCAGCCTTGTGATATCCACCTACCTTAATGTTGGGTGATATCTTGGGTCTGTACTGTAAGCAGGCTCAACCACAACCCTTGCAGCAAAGAGAAGATAATCGGAGCAATGAAAAATTCATATTGATCGTGTACTTAAATGAGATGTACGAGGGTTTTTGTACTATAACTACCTTATCCAGCCTTGATCGCACTGGTGATGAATTGAATCACCCTGTACTTGTTGCACTCTTCGTAGTCCTCGTCCTCGCCACACTGCTCCCACTCCTCATACTCGTCATACTCATCATACTCCTCCCACTTCTTGCACCCCATACACTTCCTGCGCTGCTCGTTCTCGTTCCCTCCCTCCTCGTCCCCTCCCTCTTCGTCCTCTTCAACTTCACTCTCGCCCTCGTCCTCCTTTTCCCTCTTGATTCTCCGCACCCATATAGCTTTTTCCCCGAGTTGCCAGCCCCTGAGGTCATCACCTTGTTTCACTTCATAACCTCGAGCCTCCGGCCCCGGTAGCATTTTCATGTAGATTTGTTTCAAGCCCGGTGGGAGTGGTTCATACTGGAGCATGTCGCAAACCACCTCTTCCGTCTGTCTGACTCTATACAAGTCACACGAGCAACCCGTCACCTCTGCCTGAATGGTGAGAGTCTCCAAGGACTGAGGAAGTTTGTCGTGTATAGTTATGTACCTCTTGTTATCCTCATCTACGGGCCCAACAAAGTTGAGCCTACCGATGGATAGATGTCTCAGAACTTCCAGCTTCTTGAGGCATCCGATGTAGTTACACCAGTCAGCGACGTGAGGATCCCACATTGGTTTGGCGATTGAAAGCTCGACCAGTTTTTGCCCATGCTCTCTAAGAACATCACCAAACTCCGCCAAATTGTGAGTTGGATCTTTTAAGTCTCCATTGCCTATGAGGGCTATATTGAGCTGGGTGAGGCTTGTGCATTTCTCCAAGATGCACTGTAGGGACTTGGGCTGTAAGATGCAGTTTTCAAGGTCGAGCCTTGTCAGGTTGCTGGGCGCCTTGCTCCAGTCCAACTTCAGACAAGTAGCATGCCGCAATGCAAAGCCGTCAAATGTCAGAGCCTTGATGCTTGGATGGTTGAAGAGACCACAGACTGTTGTACTCCCTATTGGGGAGCCCAGTCTGTCGTCATAGGATCTGAGAGTTGCTGACTCGAGATGGCGGAAAAATAAGATATTCGGGATACCTTTGATACCCTGACCGTCTTTGTTGGGCTCAAACCCAGCATAACCGTAGTCTTGGTCACTTTCAAACGTGTCAGTCAAAAGAAATGGTGTAGATTTGAGGTCGGTAAGCCATAGCTCGAGGTGTCTCAGTTCTGGCATGAGAAGCATGAGAAGCACTTTCAAACTTCTGTATGGCCGTTCGAATATTATGAATTCCAACTCATGCTGTATGACAGTCCTGAGACCTGAGGGGATTCTATCACGATCAGGCGATGAGCAGAGCTTTTGGAAATAGTTGGTCATGAAGTTGAGGAAGTATGGATGAGCCATGGGATCGTATCTCTGGGAGTAGAACGTCCTCGTGGTGAGACCTCGCCCAGGATCCTGTTGCAGGCGCCTTGCAAGTTGCATCCATTTCTCATCAGGGTCCTCTTCGAGGACAAAAATGCTTCGAAAGAGATGGAATTCTGCAATCCCACGCAAACGCTTGCAAACGCGGCTCAGAGACAAGAGTGCCTCGTAGGAGGACTTGGTATCCCAGCCGCCTTCCCAATCGTTACACTCGATGATGGAACAAATGTGAACCAAAACCTCATCGGGCACGTGCAGAAGCATGATTATAGTGGTTGGGGTGGTATTTGGTAACTGGGGCTAGAATGGAATGAGGGCAGAAAAGATGGGACGGGATGGGACGGGATGCCGATGGGATGGGATCGGGGCTGATCAGGCTGGCAGCTGAGGTTGTGCTTAAGTACAAAAGGTACTTTTGTGAGGTACTTATGCTGTGTAACCCACGATAGGTAGGGTATCATCACGAGTAACATGATATGCACGAGCAAGACTGTGGCTTGAATCAAGACTATTGTCGTAGTCTGGAATGATACCTTGCAGGTTGCCAATGAAAACCGTCTCTGCTCCATCTCAAGTTATCTCTTCTCTCAGCTGAAATAACTCCGTATATTCACACCGGGTACTCGTATGTGGGTGATGAAACAAATTCGTCATAGTACAGTCTGCTTGCTTTTCCTTCAAATTGATCATCTCTTTCCAAGCCATGGTCTCATTATCTCATTAGGTGCGGGTAAGGTAGGGAGGGTGAACCAATATCCTATCCATCTTGCCATCCTATTCTCCACGTACTAGCTCAAGCCTCCGAGAATAAGGCTCTCGAGTAAACGAGCGCCGTAGGTGTGCCTCGTTTTTGACACTCCAGCCCTCAACTTTGGTGAAGTTAGTGAGCCTGTCATCCATGCCGTCCGTATAATAACCGTATACAACTTCCTGTAGTTTGGGTAGTCGTTTGTTGTAAAGGAAGCGAATCACTCGGTCGTCGTTCGCGGCAGACTTTGTGACCAGAGTGTCGCTATTTGAGTCCCCCCTGCACACATCAACGAAATCCATTTCGAGCGTCTCAACAGATTCAGGCAAGACTTCCGGTAGTGGGACTGCGTCCTTAAGCCTACCTGCAAGTACAAATATTGGAGCTGAAAGGTGTCGGAGGCGCTTAAGTCCCTGTAGAGAGCCAATCTTGCCTTGTGCGTACTCCTCGCAATCGTAAAACCTCAGCCTTAGGCTGATAAGATGCTTTCCAAACTCTCTGAGAATGCTTCCAAACTCGTACAGGTTCACCGTCAAATCCTCCTTATCTACGTCGTAGCAATCTGTAAGATCCAGATCCAAGTACTGTAAGGCCTTGCATCGAGAAAGACTGGAGTGTAGGAAGGCGGGCCTGATCATACCAGCGTCGAGTGTCAAACTCTGTAGCCCGCTCTGAAAGTCTGGGGCCACGAGAGGACTAATAGTGAAGGTGGGTGCAAAAGGCGATAGCAAGAGTCGCTTGATCTTGGGAAGGAGTAGTAAATATTCCGTGCTACAAGTGCCCGAGTCTTCTTGTTTGGTCCGTAATGGTGACCAGTGTATTTCCTCTAGCTGACCGAGGTAGTTCGCAACTGGTTCTGGTCGATCTTCTGTGCCAGGCTGGGGAGTCCTCAAATCCCCCCCCAGGATCCAGTTCAGTGCCTTGGAATGTGTCTGGGGGTCTGTCAATACGACCATCCGAAGCTTTGGCATGAGGGCTAGAAGAAAACACGTCCCAGCTTCAGTGGCAGAGTATCTTTCTATGTCTTCCCTCAGCAAGTCTCGGAGCTGAGTAGGTTCAACCTGTCCAATGCTTGGTGGCCAAAAGTCACTGTTGACCAAGGGAGTTTTCCAGTTTCCTATGGAACTCAGATCGATTGCACGGATTTCTGACCCGAGTTCCGGGTTCAAGAGGAGCGTACGGGCGAGTAAACACATCTTTGTACTGTTCTGTTGATCGTATAGCTTTCCGCTCGATATTGTATGATACAGATGGCGCCTGGCCAATTGGTAGAACTGATGGCTGACAAGACACAGTGATTTGAGAGTTGGAATATCAGTGTCTTTGGGGGATGGATAAAGGCCATGATCTGATCCGTCATCGACGTCTATGGTATCCTCGAAGTGGGAGAATACAAGTTCCCAGATCTCATTACAGAAAAATGGAGGCATCTTTGTACTAGAAGCTGCATTAGCCTTGGAAGTTCTCCCTTCTGCTCCTCTTCCTAAGCGAGACTTACATGTGATGAGTGGTTTTATCGCAGCGGGGTTTCGTGTCGTCGAAGATCGAGGGATCAGAATTAACAACAGCGAGAAAAGCAGCTTCAAAAAGCCTCTTGTAACCCCAGAGAAACCAGCATTTGTGAGCTTCATAACTCTTGGCGATTACCTGAAGCATGGTTCTGAAGTTAGATGCGCAAACGATAACTCAAAGCTGGGAGCCAAGAGCCTATTTACCGACGGTAAATCTTGTCCTTGTCCTTGCTGTGTCGGAAGTGAAGCTAGGTGGCTATTATGAAGTCAAACATGGGTAAAGACATTCATGCTCGAGGGAGGTTGCAAATGGCTGGGAGACAATCAGTATACACTATTAGCTAATAAGGTCTCACCCCATGCCAGTATGAGGTAGTAACTAAGGTAGAAATGGCTGACGCTCTTTGAAGCGCACCTGTTACCGTTTGGCGACACGCAAACACACTGTCCAAGTGCATGGAAATATCAAACACTACAGTACAAGGTTGGGTAATTCGTAAATACTTACTTTTTCGCTTATCGTGAGCTAATTAACCTAATCGTGTTCTAACTTCATTTTGTTACTGGGTCTCATACGAACGCTTATTCTGTGGAGCATGGAGACACTTTTACACAGGAGACATCTATCTCCCAAAGGAAGGTACTAAAAAAGAAGTATTATTTCGTTGTTAGTCATGAGTTTTATCTCTTATCTTGCATGCAATTAAACCCCATTGAAATACCTCCACGGCATGAGGCCAAGCTCACTGGGGTCTGTATAGCAACCCTCCAGCCTACGAAGTCAAGATCTCTACACCGGTTAAACACAAAACTTTGCATAAATGCTGACCCAATTGACTCTCGTTGCGAAGAGCTCGGAATTATTCCCACGTGTAGTAAGACCGTATCTCGGGTTGTGCAAGGCTAAGATCAGGGACAGTAAGGCGCAAGCAAACCAGTTGTAACATCAGACTAACTTAGCGTGTGTCAACCAATAAAGGTGTGTCTTCCCTGTTGGGCTAGTTGTTTCTTCATCTGTTAATTAATGAGACTTCGTTTGAAAAGCTCCCGGAGTTTTTTTAAGGTATCAAAGTATGTCGACCGACGACTTGTCAAGTAGCATGCTCACCGCCTCTGTTGTGCAAAGGTATGTACTACAGCTACCAACTTGTAACGTTGCATACGTCGTATATTCTTCGTGACTGCTCGGCCATATCTATGTTCTTCCAGTACCAAATCCAACAGTACTCCTGAGGAAGAGTACCGCTATTAACAACTTGCTTTGCCTTGCTGGGGAACAATGCTTACCCCCCAAACGGTAGAGACAACATTTAAGCATCTGACCTCATCCATCCTCGCAAAGTACTAACTCTCGAACATATTCTCGCCAGTTTCTGATCACTGAACCCTCACTTCCATATCTGGAAAAGGAGCTCCTGTGAATCGAAAGGACCTTCAGTAACTGCGCGATCAGCAGGTGTCTCTAGTTGCTTTCTCTTATCACTTTCTATATTCTGAAGCCTCGCCTCCTTGAATCCCCAAGACTCAGATTTCTATTTAAAGGCTGTATGTCAAAAATACTGCACGGGCCTTGAATCAGAGTAACGATTGAGCCCACTATCCCTGGAGGTTTCAAGCCAGACAGAGAACCAAAGCCAAGCGCCAGCCCGTCAGTACCAGTCACCCCTTCTAGCACAGTAAATCGGTGCTTTTATCTTAACTAACGTGCTACTGAGTGCAGCCGAGCGAGCCCGTTGGCAACAATGGAACTCAGATCTAAGGCATCGAAAAGCCTTGATGAATTTCAGCTATTTACAGTAACTCCTTAACATAAAACTATGCTACACCAAAACATTGACAGGTCTGATGCTCGTATAAAAGCAATTATAATGTAAAAAAACCAACGCAAGAAAGATACTCGCTCTAGCATCCCCGCTCAGTGTAGAAACTACTTGTAGTCCACACTAAGCCACTCTATGCCCAAACATGTTAAACTGCACATCATTCCCTGATTTATCTCTCCAGCTTCCTTTCTCTTCTTCCTCTTCTCTCCTATACAGAACGCAGTACATCACTCTTCCTCCTCCTCCTCCTGGATGGCATTCTTCTGTTTGGCGATTCTCCTTTCCTGTTTGGTCTCCTTGTCATAGCAATAGGGGCATTCACGATTGTGCTTCAATGAATAGCCAGATTTACATTTACTGCAGATAGCGAGATGTTGTTTCTTCACACATCGTGTTTTGGCACTTTGATTGCACACAGGGCTGTCTTGTTAGCTTCTGTAGTCATCCATTGGGGGTTTACTAACCAATGATGTTTTCCGTCTCTCTTGTTGCATCCCATGATGGAGGTTGAATGATCAGTTATAGGATTGTATTTGAGTAGTTGTCCTCGTGGAAATAATTATTCAAACGTTTGTGATACTATTGGTGATTATAGCTATGTTCTCGAGTCATCCTATGGCAGTACTTATACAGAAACGAACATGAATCAATTCTCTAGGCCTCTTTGTTTCCTATCTCAACTCCTTTTAACCTTCTCGTGAGGGTGTGGCCGACGAACACACCAAAGCTTTCAGCTTGTCTTTCAATTCCTCCCAGTCTTCTTTGTTAAGATCATCATCTCCAATGTCCAAAACAACACTCAGACTCTTACCTTTGTCCACATTTAAAGCAACTTCAACAAACTTGCGACAGATCTCCAGCCTGTTCATTGAGCTGAACGCTGCAATGGCAATGGCTTCAGCAATGTGAGAGTCTTGCGTGAGAGCGGAGTCTCCCTGTCCAGACAATTCCTTGCACATCTCTTTGTTGAAGTGCGCTCGATATCGTTGTAGGTCTTGGGGAGAATCCTCAAAGCCTGGCGAATGGGGCCAGCCATACATCAAAGGATCCCAGTCTCTAGTTATCCATCCTGGATAACAGGCGTAACCGAGTTGAGGTGGTACTGTCTGGCAATGGTCCCAGTCAATCAATCCAGTGACATTTCCTTGTTCATCAACAAGAACGTTCTGGGAGTCAAAGTCG